TGCCTATAGGTCAAGCAGATGGAGACAATTCCTCAGTTGAGGTTTCCTTTTTTCAGGTGACTGGTTTGTGTCTACTTTACAAGTAACCAGCACAGGGTGGGGAGTAGTGCTTCAAGATAGGACCCACCTGGCTGGTCCAGACTGTGCTTCACATCTTCCAGAACTCAAGATTGCATTGAAATTCCCAGCTAGTGGTGTGCAGCATGGTGGAGCATACCTGCCATCCAATCAGGAGAGACCCTGCCTAAAGTAATTTAGTTATAACTAGTTGTGTTCTCTTTGACCTAGAGAAAGGGGGTGGGAGTTTTTCTCCTAAAAAATAAGAGAAAGCTTACATATAGTCTTTTAAAGTAATCATCTGTGTAGCTCTTGCCCAGCATAACACCAAACACTGGGCTTAATTCCCAGGCCTACTTAAAACTAAGTACTATGGCACACTCTGGGGATTTCAGCCCTTGGGAGCTGCAGTCAGGAAGACTAGAAATTCAAGGTTATCTTCAGCTAGCTACATAGTAAATTCGAGGGCAGACTGAGATATATCAGATTTTGTAACAGAAATGTAATATTAGTAGTTTAGTATGCAAGGAAGTGATGGTGCATGCCTGTAATCCCAACACTCAGGAGGCAGAGTCAGGCAGATCTCTGGGAGGTCAGCCTGGTCTACAGAGGGAATTCCAGGACAGCCAGAGCTATTACACAGAGAAACCCTGCCATCATCATCATCATAATGTAGACTTTGGGACAAGCCTTGTTCCCTTCCTATCTTCTGTTATTTCTGGATACGGTAGCCTCTCTGGGTCTGGGTGTCACCACAGTCTTCAGATTTGAGTAATTCTGCCATACCACAACAGAACAGCGTTGTTATCTCCTCTGAGAGTCCAGGAAAGCCACAAGTGTTCTCAAAGTGAAACGTACAGCTGCCATTACCACATTCATTATTTTGCTCAGTTCTGTGGTTGCTTAGCAACCCAAGTTAGACTGCCCCACCAATGGAAAATTTAAAATTACTTCCAGTAATTGCTTCAAACAGCAGAGAAAACATCTTCCTGTTTAAATGGGACTAGGTGGCATTTTATTTTGTTTTTCAAAATTGTTTTATATTTATTTATTTACTTATTTTGTATGTGTATGCACACACACAGTTGCCATGGACCTGTGTGGAGGTCAGAGGACAACTTGCAGAAGTCTTGTCTCTTTTACTATGTAGTTTTCTGGGGAATCAAACCACTGAGCCATCTCTAGTCCCAGCTCAAGACTAAAGACTAGGTTCCCATAAAGGATCTGAAATCTTTTATTGCATTTCCTAAATATTAGGAATCCTTGGGGCTCAGTAGTTAAGAATACTTGCTGCTCTTGCAGAAGACCCAGGTTCAGTTCCCAGCATCTACATGGCAGCTCATAACCATCTGTAACCAGTTCCATAGAATCAAGCGCCCTCTTCTGACCTCATGTGCACATAAAATAAAATATTCTTTTAAAAAAAGAATTCTAATGAACATTTGAGAGTCTCATCATGTAGCCCAGGCTAGACCCAAACTCATCATCCTGCCTTGTCCTTTCCAGTGCTGGAGTCACAGGTGTTGTGCGTACACCGTTCACTGTTGAAGAAACACAGCCCCATGGGCTGGAGAGATGGCTCAGAGGTTAAGAGCACTGCCTGCTCTTCCAAAGGTCCTGAGTTCAATTCCCAGCAACCACATGGTGGCTCACAACCATCTGTAATGGGGTCTGGTGCCCTCTTCTGGCCTGCAGGTATACACACAGACAGAATATTGTATACATAATAAATAAATAAATATTAAAAAAAAAAAAAGAAACACAGCCCCAAACTTTCCAGATTCTATCTAAATTACACTTCCCTATCCCCAGGCTCCTACTGTAGGTGGGCTGAGCCTTTGGCAGCCCCACCAGCCTTTTGTATTCTGGGTCTAGCTCCACCAGGTGTGGAGTGGATGGAGTTACAGGCAATCTGGGTAGCAGGAATGGGTAGATAGACCCCGAGGAGGCAGCCTTCTCCTACTGCTACTTCTCCCTGAGAATCCAAAGTGACCTCTCGGGAGGAGCAGTGAAGGGAAGCAAACGCAAGAAATGGATTCCCCATAGCAAGGGAACTAAGAGAAAATAACAGTTGTGAAGAGTTACTGAGGAACAAAAGTAGAAAACAGCTAACTTGCAGTGGCTCTAAGACAAGTTAGAACAAGTTGAAGAACTTTCTGCAAGACAGCAGAAAAGCATAAAGAGCCCACCAAGATGGCGCACAAGCCTGGTGACCTAAATTCAGTCGCCAGAATCATCCACATAAAAGTGAAAGGGGAGAACCAACTTCCACATGTATGATATGGCATGCATTCATGCAGATGCACATATACAGTGTATCTGTGTGTCTGTATTTAAAGAATTAAGGGCCAGGCACGATGGCTCATTAGATAAAGGTGCTTGCCGACAAGGTTGAGGACCTGAGTTCGATCCCTGGGACCCTCATGCTGAAAGGAAAGTATTGACTCCTTAAAATTGTCTTCTGACTTCCACACACATCACCATGGAACATGTTACACACAAAATAAGTAAATATAAAATAAAAACTCTACTTTAAAAGTGGTAAAATATACAGACATTTGAGTGAGTGGAAGACAGAAGTGAGTGTGCCAACCCATTGCCAGTTGAGTGGAAGGAAGATGCTAGAGTGAAGGAAGCTCAGCAGAACTAAAGGAAGATAAGGGCACAGTCACCAAAGTACTTGATGTGCAAGTATGAGGTCCCGAGTTCATTCCTTAGAGCGCACGTAAAACCACCAGATGTGGTGGGGTGCACTTAGTACCCCAGGATTGAGGAGGCAGAAACAATTCTGCAGTTCTCTGGTCAGCCAGCCTGGCCTACTTAGCCAACTCCTGGCCACTGAGAGAACCTACCTCAAAAATAACGTGGCAAGCAGATACCTTTAATCCTAATGCAAGGCAGGCAAGGTTCACAACCAGTCTGGCCTACATAATGAGTTTCAGGACAGCAAAAGGTACATAATGAAACCACATTGCAAAAATAAGTGGGTAACACTGAACGCTAACCTCTGGCACACACACATGCACACGCATGAACATACATGCACACACAGGGGAAAAAAATCAAACGTTGAATAATGTAGAAGACAGAAGTTGGTATGCCTACCATGTCCAGTCAGATAGACAAAATGACATAAAGATTATTTAGCAGAACTAAAGTAAGACGATCCCGCTCATACAAGGAGCTGTCCTACCTGAACACATATTCAGGGTCTGCTTACTTACCCAGGCCTAGCCGATCCTCATCCCCTCCCATATTCTGCAGCCAGCTCAGCCGCAGAGCTTAAGGAGAAGTTGGCCACCTTCTCCAGCATATCTTATCTTGGGTTCTCAGCAGCCAAGTTATTTCTGGCTTTTTCTCCCATATATGCAATGGTGGCAAGACATTTGCCTACCCCAGGCTCTAGGATCCACTCTTCATGGTAGGGTGTTGTCTTAGTTAGGTTTCTTTTGCTGCAGCGAAACACCATGACCAAAAAGCAAGTTGGGGAGAAATTTACACTTGTTACTGTTATCAAGAGGTCTGTTACTGTTGGAAGGCAGGCAGGACAGGAGCTCAAGCAGGACAGGAGCCTGGAGGCAGGAGCTGGTACAAAGGTTATGGAGGGTTGCTGCTTACTGGCTTGCTCTCATGGCTTGCTTGGCCTGCTTCCTTATAGAACCCAGGACCACCACCAACCCAGGGATGTCTCCTCCCACAATGGACTGACCCTGTTTCTAATTGAGAAGATGCCCTACAGCTGGGTTTTATGGAGGCACTTTCTTTTTTTTTTTTTTTTTTTTTTTTTGATTTTCGACACAGGGTTTCTCTGTAGCTTTGGTACCCGTCCCAGAATTAGCTCTTGTAGACCAGGCTGGCCTCGAACTCCCAGAGATCCACCTGCCTCTGCCTCCCGAGTGCTGGGATTAAAGGTGTGCGCCACCACCGCCCGGCTAAGGGTAGACTCTCTCTTGCTCCTTCTTTCTCAGTCTGGCAAGCTGCTATTTAGCCTTCAAATCCCAGCCTGTATATCACCTCCTTTGAAGCCCTTCCTGATTCCTTCCATAAAGAGGATTCATCATCATTCCTCCTGTTTTCCAGAGCTCCAGCCAAACCTGTAACAAGACATTGTATTTTGTTTTTGTTTTTGAAACAGGGTTTCTTGTACCCTAGACTAACCTTTAACTCACAATGTTCACAAGATGACTTTGAGCTCTTGCTCCTTCTGCTCTCACCTACAGACTGCTAAAGTCACAGGCCTGTATCATCATGCTCAGTTTTGTGGGTACTGAGGAATGAACTCAGGGCCTCATGCATACCAGGCAAGCACTCTACCAATTGAGCCACATCCAGTGACCTGTATTTTACTAATTTTTGGCTCTGTCTGCCTAGCAGAGGTGGTTGAGATTCAGAGGGGTTCTTATTCCCCTCTCCAGACACATGAATATCAACAAAGTGAATGAAGAGCCTGGTTTGGTGGTACACACCTATAATTCTAGCACTTGAGAGGTAGGGGCAGGAGTTCATAGTCATCCTTGACTCACAGACAGTTTGAGATCAACCTTGGCTGCTGGAGACCCTATCTCAGGATAAGTGAGTTAATTAAGGTTTGATGAGGTGTTCAGTGGGTAAAATTGATTTTTGTCTATGCTTGAGAGACTCGGTTTGATCCTTGGAGCCCACGGTAGAAAAAGAGAACCAACTCCTGAAAGTAGTCCTTTGCACTGTGGCAGGAGGATACACAGAATAATAATAACATGCTGCCTATGACATAAGTCTGTCTACCTTATCCCTTTGGCCACTGTATAAACCCTTACAGGTTGATCTGGTCCTCCCTTCCCTAATGCCTCACCTTGTGTGGATATGGTCATTCTGCTTCAGTCTGAGCCAAAGAGCCTGTCCCTTGGTGACTTCACTGTACCTGCCTCAGTGACAACTAACCTCTTTCCCCCTTGCCTTCCCAGGGCCGATGAGATAGAGATGATCATGACTGACCTTGAACGAGCCAATCAGGTAAGCTGTTCATATCTTCAATATAAAACACCACAGCTCACCCAATCTGTTATCTTGGGAGACGCCTCGTGCTAAGATAAGTGATCACTTTGGAACCATTTTCATAGTATCATCAGAAGTTAGAAGTAAATCCGTAGCACTATTCGTTGGCAGAATCTCAGGTTCAACCCCAGTGTCTGAGACACAAGTATATAAGGGTACTTGTTCTTTTTCTGATCCCCTGTCTCTAGAGCATTCGTTCCAGGAGTGTCCAATCCATGGACCACAGGCCACGTGCATCCCAGAATAGACATGAATAAGGCCCAACAGAAAATTTAAACTCATTAAAACATTGTGAGATTGACTGATTGATTTGCAGTTGTGCAATTCCAAAGTGTGAAACATTGAAGATGACAGTGTCATCCCAATGCCAGAAGGTTGAGCATGTCTGATGCTTTGTCCACTGGCATTCATTACATCATAGAATTAATTGTCATCTTTTTTTAGTAGGTTCCAGCTACTTGCTCTAGTGGAACTTGCAGTGGGCAGCTCCTCTCAGCTGATACCCAGTTATCAGATATACCTTTCAGGAAATACACAGCCCAATAATACACAGAGAACAGTCACATAGTATCAGATGGTTCCAAGCACTCAACTATCCATAAGCCTTTTTTTTCACAGGTCCTACAGGGGAGTAAAACATTTTGCTTTCACAACTAATGCTGCTGGCCTCAAACTAGTTATAGAACTGAGAAAGACCTTGAACCTTGGATTCTCATGTTTCTGCCTTCCACTTGCTGGAATGGCAAGTGTGCACCATTACCTCTGCTTAATGCAGTGCTAGGAGATCAAGCCCAGGGTTTCACAAATGCTAGACAAGCATTCTGCCAACTAACTAAGCTGCACTCCAGGCAAGATTCTTTACTTGGTGGAGAAACAGCTAAAATAGAAATTAAGTTTCTCAAAAGGACATGGCCTGTGGCCTCTCAATTTTACAGCTGGGTAGCCATAGGCACTGGCAAATGTGGAATCTTGCATTGGGTTGCTCCACCCAGTGAGTTCAAGCCTCTCTGTGAAACAAAAAGCCTCCCAGAATCCCTGCAGTCCTGCTTGCCTCCTCAGGAGCTCGTTGGGAACCTGTCTTTCATAGGCACTGGTCACTCAGACTTTCACCAGCATTCAGGGAAAAGCATTGTTTATTTCTTCCCTGATAAAATTAACCTGAAGCCTAAGCAGGAAAACCTGCACAGAAGGGAATGATGATATGTATGGCTCTGATATTCCCATAGGACAATTGGGTTGGGTCAGTGGTTGGAGCTTAGGCCTTTCCTAAGGTCCTGGGTCTGACCTGTATGGGGCTTTCTTTGGAGAGTGTGGCACTGGTCACCTGAGGTCTCCTAAGTAATCTTAGCTACCCTAACTCATTGCTGGAACCTTATCACTTCACCTGCCCTGCCTCCCCACTGAGATCCACATGGTTCGGGTTCTTATTTTACAAATAGGGAAACCCTGCCAGTTTTTGGTCCATCACTCGGCTGGGCCGAGAAACCCAGAAGTCTTACTTAAGGTTGTCGTGGCACATTTGGGGAATAGTTTGTTTCTCATTTGGTTTGGGGAGCTTTTATTTTGTTTGGTTTTAGGGGATATTGTTTTGCTTTTGTTTTGTTTAACAAGTGTGAACTTTGTAGATGACAACATTGTGTTATAATATTAAAAGGGTGGGTACCCTTGTTATAGCATCTGAGAAGGGAATAAAGAAGCCCCAGAAGGTTGCCTGGCTGATTTGGGGGTGGAGGCTGGGGGGAATGAAAATTACCAGGTGGTAATGGTGTATGCCTTTAATACTCAGGAGGCAGAGGCAGTCGAATCTCTGTGAGGCCAGCCTGGTCTAACTCTGACCATCCTGATAGCCAGACTTATGCAGAGAAACCCTGTCTCAGGATAAACACTGGAGTTGACATGAGGAAAGCTAGGCTGTGTGGGCAGCAGCTAGAGAGTGGCCTGATAGGAAGGGCCTGGTTGGTTAGGGGGAGAGAGTCTTTATCCTGGGAGGATGGAGATCCTGGATTTGTATTCAATTAAAAGGTCACTTGGGGGCTGAAGAGATAGTTCAGCCTTTAAGAGCACTTATTCCTTGTGCAGAGGACCCAAGTTTAGTTCTTAGCACCTACTCTGAACAGTTACTTAGGATCAGATAACCGATTCTGAACTCTCTGAGCACCTGCACTTACACTTTCACGTACACACACATCTTGTTTTGTTTTGTTTTTCAAGACAGGGTTTCTTTGTGTAACAGCCCTGGCTGTCCTGGAACTCAATTTGTAGACCAAGCTGGCCTCGAACTCATAGAGACCCACCTGCCTCTGCCTCCCCAGCACTGGGATTAAAAGTGTGGGCCACCACAACCAGCTAAAATAAATCTTTTTAAAAATCATTAAAAAAGCCGGGCGGTGGTGGCGCACGCCTTTAATCCCAGCACTCGGGAGGCAGAGGCAGGCGGATCTCTGTGAGTTCGAGACCAGCCTGGTCTACAAGAGCTAGTTCCAGGACAGGCTCCAAAGCCACAGAGAAACCCTGTCTCGAAAAAAAAAATAAATATATAAAATAAATAAAAAAAATTCATTAAAAAGAAATAAGGAATCACTGTAGATAAAGCTGCAATAAGGAATGGAGATGGGAAAGCCAGAAGGCAAGGGAGCAACAAGCAGCCCTGGTGACAGGACAGGAGAAGCCTAAAGGGCTGGACAGGAGGAGATGGTACCCAGGGGAGCAAGGCAGAGGTAGGCTGAGCAGGAACAGGGCTGCCACAGCCAGAGTGCCATAGGTGCCACATACATCCAGACTACGGCACTCACCCAGGAGGAGCAGTTTGCTTGTTCTTTGACATTTAGTGTTGGTTTTGCCCTGGGTTTATTCCAGACATTCTGTTGAAACCCATAGTGTTGTTTCATTATTCAGGGATTATGTCTCTACCTCAGGAAACCAGGAAAATGGGCAGAGCTATTAGTAAAACAGGGATGTCTCCTAACACGTTTGATCAACTTCCAGCACTTGCATTAATAGTTGTCATCTTAACTGGTTACTCAAAGGAAAGATTCTGGACTCCAAGAATTTCTTGATAAACAAGCCTTAGCTTGGCACATCGAAGAGCATAGAGGAACCATGTCTCCCTTTCCCTGTGTGGGCTGGCTGCCAGCTCGCTGTTCCTCTCCCTGCTTCCCTTCCAGAGCACTCTGACTCCTCACACAGAGCCACAGGAGCAGGGCCTAGAGGAAGCTCTCCTTCTGTTTACCCTGCTGATGTTATGGGACAAGACTGTTGTGAAAGACCCCTTGGGCTGGGGATAGAGCTTGCTTGTTTGCGTGCTGCGTGCGTGCTGCGTGCGTGTGTGTTTGAGAAGATTCTTCTAGCCCAGACTGGCCAAATTCACTCTGCATCTGAGGATGACTTTGAGCTCCTGATATTCCTGCCTCCACCTACCGAGTGCTGGAATTACAGGCATGCACTGCCATGCAATTCATGCAGTTTCCTGCTGCTAGGCACACTCTACCAACTGAGGTGTATCTCCAAGCCTTGAAAGCATAGCTTAACTTCCCCAAGAAGGAAGAGCCAGGTGCTGAGAAGGTTGAGTTACAAGGGGTGAAAAGAGCTCCACAGCACTTGGCTTTGGAATCAGGACACCCAAGTTATGTTCTAGATTTGGCATTTGTTACCCACACTGACTTAGTTTGTTTTCTATTGCTGAACTAAACACCATAACCAAAGGCAGCTTTAGGAGGAAGGCGTTTCTTTCACCTTGCATGTCACAGTTCATCAGCCAAGGAACTGGAGGCAGGGCCTGAAGCAGAGGCCATGGAGGAACACTAGCTTACTCCCCCATAGCTTGTTCAGCCTGCTTTCTTATAGCTCTCAGGATCACTGGCCCAGGGATGGCACCACCCACAGTGAGCTGGGCCCTCCCACATCAATCATTGTTCAAGAAAATGTTCCACAAACTTGCCTACAGACAATTTGATGGAGGTTATTTTCTCAAATGTGTTTCCTCTTCCCAAATAACTCTAGCTTGTGTGTCAGGTTCACACACACAAAAACTAACCAAAACCCCATTCCAGTACCCAGATATCCCCCACCCATAGCATAGAGGCAGGATTTCATTCACATATACTTCCATTCATTCACCTGACCTTAGTACCCTGCCCTTAGCAGGCCTGAGTGGGGATGTCATAGGTCAAGACCTGGCCCTCCCCATGGGGCCAGGCACATCCCCAACTGAGTTTGGCATTCCTTGGTGTGGTCCTGTCTTACATTCCTGCTCCAGGACACACAGGGAGCACCTTGGTGGCAGTCAGAAGTAGGGCAGTTTGCTCATCAGACTTCTGTAGTCATACTCACATAAGTGACTTTTCCTCCTGACCTGCAGTGGCCAGCAGCACAAGCTGTGGCTCATGACCTTCTCCAGGTTCCTGCAGAACCATTAACAGGGTCACTTCTTGCAGCCTCCCATGCTTCTGGTTACATTCCAGCCATCACCACTTCACACTCTAAGCTCCTGCAGAGATTTCCTTATCTCAGGTTTTCCTATACCTATATTTTAGTGGCCATATATATGGAGAATACATAAGCAAATAATCTAGAGCCAAAAGGCAGAAGATTAGATTAAAGGCCCCACCACCACCATCACCATATAAACCAAGGGAAGTAGCCAGATGTGGTGGATCACACTTGTAATCACTTGAGGGGTGGGTCAGAAGTTGAGAACCAGCTTCAGCTCTCTACATAAGACCCTGCTAAGGGGGTGGTAGGTATGGGGAACGTAGCTTGGTTGAAAAACTACTCACCTATTATGCACAAAGCTCTGCATTTCATCCTGGAACAATATAACCCAGGCAGGAGGATCAGGAGTTCAAGGTCTTCTTCAGCTATTTAGTCACTTTGGGGCAAGCCTGAGCTTACATATAAGACCCTGTCCCAAAAACTGAAGTCATCTATCTTAGATGAGGAACATGTAGTGGCCCCAGAGATAGTCTTAATAATTTGACACTGTCACTGTGGTGTGCACAGTTACTGTTGACTTCTGCAGCCTCACTCCCCCTCCCCACATTCTTCCCTGCTGATTTTCAGAGTAGCTGTTGGCAGCTACCAAAGCTCAACACTGCTTTTGTTCTGCATTGTTCCTACCTCTACTCCCTCTGTTCCAGAAATTGTTGCTTCTCAAGAAAAAGCATAAGGGCAGCCCCAGAGGGTGGCAAGTGCCGTCCCTGCCTGCTGTTCAGGAGCCTGTCCTATGTTCTGATTCTGCCTCTTCAGGGATGGGCCTGTCTAAGAACACTTGGAAGCATGCAGCCTTTTGCCACCAAGTAGGGGTCAGCTTTGCATCCCAACCTCAGTCATCAAGTTGTGGTTTTGTCAAGAGGGTGTGAGGCTCCAAATATGGAGCACCAAACCTAGGTAGCACCCCACTGTCTGCCTCAGCTGCTGGAGGAAGGCTGTATTTAGTTCTGTCGACCTGAAAACAGATCACCCCAGATCCCAACTAGTGTCTGTCACCCTGTCCCTTATGCCTTCCCTGAACTGCTCTGCTTTTCAATTCCTTTGTCCTAGAACTTTTAACTGCACAGATCTCGAACACCTTGTTGTCAGCAGGTTGTTGTCGTTGAGAGTGCTGATGGTGGATATATTTTGCGATAGAAATCCTAAGTAAATGTGAAACCAAGAACTTATACTAAAGTACCAAGTTAGGCCACCTTGGGACTGTGACTTCCAACAGAACCTCATTGATTTTTTTTTTTTTTTTGGTTTGGTTTGGTTTGTTGTTGATATTTTCTATTTGTTTTGTTTTGGTTGTGAGACGGTATCTCATATAGCCCAGGCACGCCCCAAACTAACTATAGCTATAGTTTAAAGATCACCTTAAATTCTTGATCCTCCTGCCTCTACCTCCCAAATGCTGGAATTACAGGTTTATACCATCATGCTCAGTTTATTCGGTGATGGGATTGAACCCAGGGCTTCATGCATCTTATACAAGCACTCTACCTACTAAGCCACATCCCCAGACCTTTTTTTTTTTTTAAGTTAATAACTAGCTAAGCAGCCACCCCAGCCCTTAGTTTTGTTTTTGTTGTTTGCTTTGAGATAGGGTGCCCAACCTGTTTCTGCTTTGCTTTTTTGAGGCTGGCTCTTTGTGTGTTACCCAGGCTGTTTTCAACCTCACTATCCTCTTGAATCATCCTCCCCAGTGTTGAAGTTATAGATATTACCCTCCACACCTCACACTACTGTGACCTCGGGGACTTAATACAAATGCTGACCCTAAGAAAACTGCAGGTAGCTAGCTGATACCTCAGTCTGTGATGTACGGTATTCTGCCACCTAGCATCTTCACAGGCTTTTAGGAGACGGGGCCAGTGTAACATGCCACTGTGGTACTGCTACCTGTTCAGCAACTATCAGAATTTTTTCCCCAATAGATGAAGGAATAGTTTTCCTCATCAAAGAGACTGGGAAATTTGTCACAATACGTGCAAGTCCTGAAAGAACTGTGGGAATCGTGTACCTGAAGGTTTACCTCACTAACTATGGAGGAATGTGCTTTTCAGTTATGTGTCTTAACTGTCAGAAAAGCTGGGAAAAACGGCTGTTGTCCAACTTCTTATAAGGCTGAAGCAGAATGATGGCAAGTTCAAGACCAGACTAGGCAACTTAGCTTGTAAGAACCTGCCTCAAAACAAAAAATAAAAAGAAAGCAAGGGATTCGTATCAGTGGTAGAGCCCCTGCCTAGAATCCCCCAGTGAGAAGCTGGGAGTGTGGCTCAGTGGTAGAGACCTTGCCCAGAATTCGTCAGTGAAGAGGCAGGGATGGGTCTCTTTGGCAGAACACCTGCCTAGAATCCCCCATTGAAAGGCTGGGAATAGGACTCATTGGAAGTTAGCACAAAGCAGATATTTCTCTCTCATTCTTGTCATAATACCAAAAACTTTTCCTGACAGTTGGTTCTTTAGTCCCTTTGGTTCTAGTATCCTGTTGGTTCTCCATTCTGTCCAGAACAGAGATGTATTAGGAAACACTTAGACATTGATGTGACGGATTCAGGGCCATTCTCCAAGCTCTCCAAGAAGCAGAACAGTTGGCTACCAGCTTCGCCCTGGGCAGATAAACTGTCCTTAGATTCTAACTTCTTTGTATGTGTACTCACTGCTGCCACCACCAAGGCACTTCAGCTGCCAAGCCCTGTCATTGTACAAACAGATTAAGCAGCAAGATAATACATTGTTTTTTTTCTTTGTGACTTCTCTTTTGGTAATTGGTGGAAAAGTCCTGCTCAACCAGACTTTCCTCGTTAACTTTTCTGTTCTATTTTGTAGGTAACTTTTTGTTTTGGTTGTTTGAAACAAGATATTCCAGTGTAGTTCAGGCTGGCCTTGAACTCACTGCATAGCCCAAGCTGGCTTTGAAATTACTGTAACTAAGGTGGTATTCAACTTGCTGTGTTGCTCAGACTTCCTTAAAAACCCACTGTGTAGCCCACATTGTCCTAAAACTCAGAATTCTCCTGCCTTGCCTCTCTTAACTTTTTATGGTAACAGAATATAACTTGCCCAGGGTATAGAGAAGTGGCACGTCGTTCACAGTCCAAGTATTAATGTCATTAGCTGCCATTGCCCACCTGTCTTAGTTTTGTCTTAGTCATAATAATAAGACCTGGATAAACCCAATGAAAAAGTACTTCCATGGTAAAGCCCTGTGGGAATAGAGCCTAAGTCAGGTATCTGTGTAGACACAATGTTTCTACAGATGCCTGTATAGAGGCTCCAGGAGTATACATAGGTAGCTGTCCCTACTGCCTCTCTTCCCAGATGGCCTCTTGAGTGGTAGGTACTAGAGTGGCTCCCCTCTTTGTCCAGTAGCAAGTCTGAATTTGCAGCAGTCATGACTTCCTCATCTAGGGTCCTAGACATACTACAAAAGGTTCTAGCCATTTCTATTAAAGCTTCCAGCACCAGCCTGGGCTGCCCACTCACTGCTGGCCCAGAACAGCCTGGCTAGCTATGTATGTCAACATTTGCAAACATTCCCCCATGATGGGTTAACTGCAGAATCCAGCCCATCCCTCAACAAAAGAAGCCACAGTTCCACAGACTGCTTATAGACACGTACCATGGGTGAAAACGACCACAACATTGTGTCTGTGCTGGGGAGGATGGCCAGCGTGTCTTTAATTCAGTGTTTACCCATGAGAATGACTCCCAGGAGTAATCCTGTGATAAAGTCTCTTCGGTCCATGAGAATAGAAAGAAATTGAATCAGAAGACTCTATTTCCAGCCGTATTTATTCAGTCTGGGAAACGCAATGGGCCGGAGCATTAATACCAGCAGGGGATTCCTCGCTCCTAGCGTTAAATTACTGTCATAATCGCTCAATTATTTCTTCCTTGTACTGTTTAAAATAAAAATCCATCACATTCTAGGGTGTGTGTGTGTGTGTGTGTGTGTGTGTGTGTGTGTGTGTGTGTGTGTTTCCATAGCATTTATTAGGTTGAGTGTTTAGGAAAATCAATTACAGTCAGTCAGGCATGAATTGATGAATGTTCTTATAATAATTGTCAGCTGTTAAACCAATGTACTTTCTTCTCTTCACCCCTTTTTGTTTCCCTCAGAGGGCAGAGGTGGCACAGAGAGAGGCAGAAACTTTAAGGGAACAGCTTTCATCAGCCAACCACTCTCTGCAGCTGGCCTCACAGATCCAGAAGGCTCCAGATGTGGTGGGTAACCCTGACCCCGACCCCGCCCTCACCCCACATCACTCCTGTTTCAACTCTTCCTTTTGGAATAATAGTTGAAGCAGGAATGGTTGTTGAATGGATGTGCTGGTTACTTTTCTCATTACTGCAACAAAATACCTGACACAGACGCTTAAAGGACCCAAGCTGGGGGTTATTTTAGTTCCTGGTTCAAGGGTGCAGTCCATCATGGCAGCAGAAGTAAGCTGCAGCTGCTTACATCGCAGTCAAGATGCAGGGATCAATGCTGTTGCTTAACTGCCTTTCTCTTTTTTCTCAACTCCAGGACACCAGCCTTGGGTGCTACCCCAGTTAGGGTGGGTCTCCCCCCTCAACTAACCTGCTCTCAGAACTCCCTTACAGCTATGCACAGAGGTCTGTCTGGTGCATAGATGACTCTAGATCCTGACAAGCCTACAGTATTAACCAAAATAGTTGTGAATTCTTAATGGCTTGGGGATAGAACTTGAGAAGAGCTCTGCCAATAACACATAGGTGCCCTCGTGGGTTGCTTTGGTGTGTGTGTGTACATGTCCTGTGCCAGGTGAAGGCTAGGGGTAACTAGATCTGAAAAGGAGTGCCGCCCCAGAGCTTCACAAGGAAGCAGAGGCAGTCCTTCCAGTGGGGCATAAATAGCAGCTGACCCTGGATGTATTCAGTGGTTGAACTTTCACCTGAGAAACAAACATGCAAGAAGAATGGGACCCAAAGGTCCAAACTCTTGTCTTTTCTCTCTCATTTATTTTGTGGGTGTTAGGAGTAGCTGCACATGTGTGAGGGTCAGAGACAACTTGTAGGAGTAAGCTTTCTTCCTCCATGGTGTAGGTCCTGAGGCTGGAACTCAGACCATCAGGTGTACACAGGAACACTTTTATGCAAACTCATCTCACCACCCCTGCTTTCATTTTTAGTTTTGTTTTCATTTTTTGAGATAAAATCTCACTACATTGGTTCAAGCTAACCTCCAATTGGCAGTCCTTCTGCCTCAACCTCCTGTGTTCCTGGGATCACAGGTATTCAATAACATGCCCAGTCCCATGTGACTTTTCTCAAGTTAACAGGACTATCAAGGTTTGGTCAAGGTGGCCCTGACTGAGCAGATTCAGATGCCTTTGGTGACCTTGGGTAACTGGCACTAGTGACTGAGCAACACACTAGCTAAGATGCTTAGTTCATTGGTTCAGACCCCAGCTCTGCAGTCTCTGAATTGGAGATTTGAAGCAAAGAGATCTATCTTCCTTACTCTGGTTGTAAGTGGGCATAGTGTCAAACATGTGTAATCCAATCTCTTGGGAAGTAGAACCAGGAAGATGTGGAATTCAAGGTCATTTTTAGGTACCTAGCAAGTTCAAGACCAGCCTGAGCTATATGAAACCCAAACTCAAAAACAAAATTAAACAAAAGAAAAACTTCAGGAAGCTGAGGCAGGAGGATTGGCAGAATTGGCCGGGCTAGGCTATATAGCAACAAGACCCCTGTCTCAAAAGTAATACTAGTACTAATTGTAGAGTGCCCTGACCATTTCAGGGTATGGTAGAAAGGTTCTTGTGCAGGAGACTGTCACTTCCTTCACAACTTCGGGAACACAATAACTTATTTTTCTCTGAAATGACCCCTTTATTCTTCCTTGCCCAGATGTAAATGCCCTGGGAACTAACTGCATCAGGGCAGAAGCAGGCCAAAGAGCCAGGACCAGCAGCTTCCCAGCTTCTGTGGCTGCCCTTGGTCAGGAGGAAGTCATTCATCCTAACATGTCTAACAGGACTTCTGAGCTGAATGTTTGGATTACAAAGAATCCTGGCACCTTACTGGGCCACAGCAAACCCAAACATTCCAGAAGGAAATGAATGTTTTTGCAGGTCGAGTCAGTTGTGGGGCCGGAGGTGGCTTCCACACTTCATCATGGCTAAGTGCAACATTGACCTGGCCTGGCTTTAGTCTCCCAGCCACAGTGAGCAGGGACTTCCCTATCTGTACCTTCCCGTGGAGGCCACCACAGGCACGGAGCCAGGAGGAAAAAATGGTCTCTTGGGCTTGGCTGGCAGAACTAACTGGGAAAAGGTAGAATCCATGGCTATAGCAGAGCCGGAAGCAGTGCTTTGGCTGTCTCGCATGAGCATGAGACATCCACCGTGTGCCAAGTAGTCCACAGCCCCTTTTCTTTCACCCATCCACTTGTCACTCTTTCATGGGCACTGAACAATACAGGATACTCAAAAGAGTCCTTGTGAATGTCTAGAGACAAAAGTTAGTTCAAGGAACAGTTGGAGCTCACCTGGCCATCCTTTAGAGCCTAGCAGAACTAGAATATTGGAAAGCAAGGCCACCTATGTGGCAAACATCTGTTCCACCCAGCTAACCTTGCTCTCCAAGTGGAGACAGGAACTGAAGTACAGCACAAAAGAGAAGCAAGTATGGTATGAAGAAATTCAAAGCCAGCCTCGCTACATAGCAAGTCCAGCCTGAGGTACATTAGAGCCATCCTCATTAAACCAAAATGCAAAAGGAAAATACTGGGAGTCAGTTTGCTAAATAACATACTTGTTGTAGGTAAGAGAACATTGGGTCCCACTACAGGATTAAAAAAAAAAAATCGAGACTGAAAAAGCATGGGATAAAACCGGACTCTCTGAATATGGCGGACAATGAGGGCTGCTGAGAAGCCAAGGACAATGCCACTGGGTTTTGATCCTACTTCATGTTCTGGCTTTGTGGGAGCCTAGCCAGTTTGGATGTCCACCTTCCTAGACCAGGATGGAGCGGGGAGGACTTTGGACTTTCCACAGGGCAGGGAACCCTGACTGCCCCTCAGACTGGAGAGGGAGGGGGAGAGGAGTGGGGGGAGGGGGAGAGGAGAGGNGGGGAAAGGGGGGGCGGGGAGGAGGCGGAAATCTTTTTTTTTTTTTTTCAATAAAAAATTATATTAAAAAAAATCGAAAGTGTTTCCACAGAGGTCTAGATACTGTCATCTGAACCTCCCTCATTGCTGTTCCTCTGGCTTTCTCCACCAAATAACACCTCACACCCTCCAGGTCTCTGCTCACATATCTCTGTCTCAGTGGGACTTTCTTGGACCAATCTATTTTAAAGTATGAGCCTTTTTCTAGGCGGTTGTGGGACATGCTTGTAATTCCAATACTTGGGAGGCAGACGCAGTTCTCTGTGAGTTCGAGGCCAGCTTGGTCTACAGAGTGAGTTCCAGCCAGGACTACACAGAGAAACCTTGTCTTTGGAAAAGTAAATAAATAATGATAACAATAGCCTTTCAATGCACATCGTTAATCCCAGCTCTAAGCAAGCAGAGAAAGGTGGCTTTCTATGAGATCCAGGCTAGCCTAGGCTTACGTGGTGAAACCCTACCACTGAATAAATAGAGAACCTCTCTAACTTTAGCTCTCATACCCTCTCTACTTCGAATTTTCTGTAGTTCTTGGCACCACCTCACATATCACAAATCCGTGTTTTTTGTGTAGCTAACTCATCCAGCCCCACTAGACTAACCCTGCAAAAGTCAGACTTTAATGCTTCAGTTCAGTTGCCCCATGCCCAGTACAAGGTAGATTCTAAGACAATATTTGCCTAAATAACAGATCCAGGTGACAGCCATGCAAAGGCAGGAGGTCATGTCTGGCCCTGAAGCTTGCTGTGTGTGCCTCTGTATCTGTGCGACTTTGTAACTATGCCTCAGTTGCAGGTGGGCAGGTCCCTGAGCTCCCTACTCTAGAGCCGGTGCTGTTTCGTCATTGCTTTCTTCTTCCCAGGAGCAGGCCATGGAGGTGCTGACCCGATCCAGCCTGGAAGTAGAGTTGGCTGCCAAAGAGCGGGAGATTGCCCAACTGGTGGAAGACGTGCAGCGACTCCAGGCCAGCCTCACCAAACTGCGGGAGAATTCTGCCAGCCAGATCTCACAACTGGAGCAGCAACTGAGTGCCAAGAATAACACACTCAAAGTAAGGGCATGGAAGGGGATGCGAGCATGTACATGGTGGGGTTAGGAAGCGTGGATGAGTTTTCATGACCATGTTGGCCCACACTACTGTGGCAACCTTGAACCCATGCTAACCCTAGCAAAGTCCTAGGTCTCTGAGACAAGGAAACTGAGTCTGACTTCACTACCATCCCTGACATTTCCTTCTCAGGGTACCACACCCCTACAACACAGAGGTCCCTGATGCTTTGGCCCATACCTGCCTGCTCCTGTCTACCCACTGCACTGCTTTACCACCTGGGACCTCCCAAGCCTACACACCACCCAGTGCTGATGGGCACTCCTTGTGGAGAACTTGGTCAAATCTTACAGTCAAGGCCATCCCAAGGCACAAGAGTAGGCTTGGCTGACTGGCCAGCAAGTCCCAGTTATCTACCCACTTCTGGCTCCCACGCTAGGATTAAAAGCATGCGTCCATGCCCAACTTTCTTATGTGGTTTCTGGGGTAGGACTTAGGTCCTTAGGCTCATACTACAAGGACTTTACTGACTAAGCCATTTCTCCAGCCCTTTTTCTTTTAATGTTTTGTTTTGGTTTTGTTTATTTGTTTGTTTTGCTTTTTGATACATGACCAACTTTAACCTAGAACTCAGTTTTGCTTCCGGTTTGTGGCTAATACCAGCAGCACCCACAGCTCTGCCAGGATATTTTCTCCTTTGCTTCTCTAGCAGGGGTATCTTCCATTTGCTCGTACAGTGCCCATGCCCAGGTGTTCCTGAGGAGGAGACCCTGGACTTGGGAAGATGACTTAAAATCCAGCATTTCCTCCTCTCAGCTTGCCCAGCTGGCAAGTGTGAGAACTCAGGTTTGAGGTCTTGGCCCAGTCTAACTTAAGGTATTATCATCACTTCTGACCTGGTGATGGCATCATCATCTGGTCATTTGTCTGTGTCTCCTCTGTCCCGGTAAGGGCTTGACTCAGACGTATCCTGCTCATGACTCCCTGGCAGAGCTGCAAGCTGTCAGCCCTCCAGTTCTCATACAGAGCAATTTCGTCTAAATCAGTTAAGGCTCTAATGTTTGCCTTCACACACACACAAAGTGAAACAGAGTTCCACAAATTAATGTTCTTATCGTGTCTTGGGGGAATTCTTTAATACTGCGTAGTTAATGAAACAATCCAGTGATACTTCTTTCCAAAATCATCCTTCCTTCCCTTCGCCTGATCTAATAATCAAAACATATCCTCTAGTAATGAGCCTTCTGATTTTAATTATCTTAACCCGTTGCTGCTAGGAGTAAAGATGGTTCCCATACATATCAAAGCCCCATACAGAAGACCTCAGAGGTCTCCAAATGGGCAAATGCCCCTCTTATACCCCATAAGGGTAAGTTTGATTGAATAAGGTAACTTCTCAGGGTTTGTTTTTAGATTTGAGAGGTATTTATCTGTATTTAAGACAGGATTTTACAATATCACTTTGACTGGCCTAGAATGCTACGTAGACCAGGCTAGCCTTGAACTCAGAGATAGTGACCCACTTGTGTCTCCTAGGTGCTGGAATTAAAGATATGTTCCACTGTTCTCAGTCAGGGCTTCTTTTTATGTGCATAATTTATAGTCTCTGACATAAACTAAATGTAGATATAATCATTAGGAAGATACTTTATGAATATGATCTGTTACCTTATCAACCTATCACCTGATGCTTCTACAATGAGGAACTCTGACCTAAATAGACCCTATAAAGCTACAAGGTACAAATGGTGGTTTATTTTACCCTACTGTATCTTCCTCCTTTCTCCTTCCTCCCTTCTCCCTCCTTCTCCTTCTTTTTCTTTTTCAGACAGAGTCCCATGCACCAATTTGACCTGAAACTCACTGTGTAGCCAAGGCTGGCCTTGGCTTCTTAATCCTCCTGCCTCAGCCTCCCAAATACTAGGACTATACGTGCATCACCATGTCCACTTACTATGGGATTTTTCTTCCTGGGTTGTCTTTCTTCCCACTGTCTCCCACCCCTTCACTCATTTGTTGTTATTGCTGTTTGTTTGCTTTTGTTTGTTTGTTTTTTGTTTGGTTTGGTTTTCTTTCTTGTACCATATTTTTTTTTAAGTTTGGGGGGACTCCCAAAGATGTGCTGAGAGATTGGAGTCAGGGTGCAGCCTAGGAGGGGCACTGTAGCTTCCAGCAGGAAGAACTGCTGGTGGTTTTCCTATCATATTATACATCCTTAATCTTTGAAACAGATGAGTCTGCTAACACAGTCTCTTTGAGAGAGCAAGTCATACACAGTTGAGGGCTTTGTGGTCAAGACAGGGTCTCATATACCCCAGGCTAGTCTCAACTCACTTAGTAGCCAATTATGACCTTGAACATCTGCCTCCACCTATGGAGTACTAATATGTACAGACATACCACACTATGCCCTGTTTATGTGGTGGTGTGGTGCTGGGGATGGAACCCCGGGCTTCATGCATGCTATATAAACATTCTACCATATGAGCCACACTCCTAGTCCATGGGCAGAATCTTTTTTTTAATATTTATTCATTATGTATACAATATTCTGTCTGTGTGTATGCCTGCAGACCAGAAGAGGGCACCAGACCCCATTACAGATGGTTGTGATCCACCATGTGGTTGCTGGGAATTGAACTCATGACCTTTAGGAAGAGCAGGCAATGCTCTTAACCTCTGAGCCATCTCTCCAGCCCCCATGGGCAGAATCTTGAATCCTCACATTGGTGATTTTTTTTTTTTTTACCAATACATTTAGCTGGTGCTGTCTATAATTGGGCATCCCAGGTAACTGATCAATTGCTTCTCATACCCCAGCATGTTGAAACTTCCCATCTTTTCTCCACCATAAGGTTTCATATTTACTAGTTCCTTTTGGCCAATGTTCTACTCTTTCATACAAACATTACAGTTAGCTCATCACCATCCATGTCTTCTCATCTTTAAGTGTAGAAATTGGCTTGTGAGCGAGAAGTGTTTCACAGTCTGACAAGTGCTCAGCAGCACTGTGCTACTTGTGGTGGATAATTCCGAGTTCATAACTAATGCAGTAAACCAGTCACCATGACAGGCAGCTACTTTTGATAACTGTTCCATGGTTTTGTCAGAGCACTCTTCATGAAGAAGCAGTACAATTAGCTAGTCACCTATATTGTCCTCAGTGTGGCAAGGAAAATAAAGTCACTAGTACCTTCAATTAAAAATGAGTGTTTACAGAAAAGACTAGCAAGTCTCAGGTCAGGCTTAGTTGTTGACTGAATGCTTGTGTAGCTGGGTTCCGTCCCCAGCACTGCATAAACTGGGTGTACTCGTGCATACCTAAATCTCTGCATTCTAGAGGTAGAGGTAAGAAGATTGGACATTCACGGTCATCCTTGGATATAAAGAAAGTTCAAGGCCAGCTGGGCTACCTGAGACTCTGTCTCAAAACAAAGAGATCTAAGCTAAGACTTAATTGGGCACTCAATTTATAAAGATACTATGATATCTTTATATCAAAGTGGCTCGATGGGTAGAAGACCTGCCAGACAGCCTGTGTTTGATCCAGTTGTATGGAGCAACTGAAGCCACTCCTATCTAAGGAGACAGGGCCTGGCCAAAGGCACTGAAGGTCACCCTCTGCCAAGCTCCTAGCACTTTGTCTTTCCAGAATGAAAAATGTCACTGAAATAACAAAATAACTAGTGGGGTCTTCTCTGTAAAACTTTCCAGTTAGAACATGAAATTTCAGTGGAAGCTATTTAGTTCCTGCTGAGCACTGCTAATACCAAACTAGAACACACTAGCCATGTGGCTCAGTGAGTAAAGGCTCTTGACTGCAAACCTGGCAACTTGAGTTCAACACTGGGATCCACACAAAGGTCAAAGAACACACCCATATCCATACATAATATAGTAGTAGTATTAGAAGTAAATTTTTTTATTTTATTATATTTATTTAATTTTTAATATTGGGGGTTTATTTTGTTTCTTCTTGGGTTTTGGAGGTGTTTTGTTTTTTTTTGTTAGTTTATTTTTTGGATTTTCAAGACAGGGTTTCTCTGTTACAGCTCTGGCTGCCCTGGAACTCACTCTGTATACCAGGCTGGCCTTGAACTCACAGACATCCACCTGCCTCTGCCTCCTGAGTGCTGGGATTAAAGGCCAGGTGCATACGGCTTCCAGGCTGCTGAGATGGCTCAGCAGGTGAAGGTACTTTCCACACAAACCTGGCAACCTAAGTTCAACCCCAGGACCCACATAAAGATGGGAGAAAAGACCACATTCTACAAACATTGCCCTTTGGCCTCCACATACGTATCATGGCACATGGGGCCCCACACATAAGTCACACAAATACACATACATACAATACTAATAAAAACACAGATTCTAGTCACAACAGCTTTTTTCTTTGAAGTGAGATCTCATGTAGCCAACACTAGCCTCAAACTAGTTTTGTAACTGAGAATGGCCTTAGACATCTGCCTCTCCCGTCTCTGCTTCCCGGGATTACAGGTATACACCACCATGCAGTTTGTGTGCTGCAAGGGGATGGAACCCAGGGCTTCATGCACTCTGCCAAATGAACTATTTCTCCAGCCCTTTTTTTTATCAGCCCCATCACAGGGTAACCACCTGTGTAATACACTTGGCAGTAACAAGAATCTCAGCCCTGGGAGGCCTAGAGGTAGCTCCCACCAGTTCTTTCCTCATAGGACACTTTGGCCCCCTGTAGCTGCTCTCATTTTATGGAGAAGAAACATATCAGCTGCCCCAAAGATGCCTGGCTTATAAGAGACAGGCTGACAAACTCATGCTGGTTGGCCCTATTAGGCTGTGACACACCACATCTCTGTCCCTCTTTCTGCCTTCCTTCCTACTTTCTGCCATTCTCTGGAGGTGACTTGATGTGTGTGTTCACATCTGGCCTCTCCGAAACACTGCAGATAACACTTTTCAAGGGTGGGCGGTACATTAGTACTTCCTGCTATTTGACTGTAGGGAAAGGAATGAAATAATGACTTCTTTCAGAACACCTTCTGAGAGTCTTTTATGGGAAAATGAGTGCCTACCAGCCTCCATTTGATTGTCCCTGAGAAAACCATTATAGTTTAGAAAGTTAGCAAAAAATATTTAAAAGGGAACGAAGTGGAGCAATTTTATGCGATGGGAAATACACACGAACTTTGTCGGCAGAGGCAATGGAAGAAAATGAGCTGAGTGGATGTAGATAAGAGAAAGCAACAGTCTGCTTGGAACTCTAGCTAGGTTCTGATACACATAGGCTTTGAAGCTGATGGGTCAAGTAAGCCTTTCCTCCTCAGGTTCTAGAATGTTTTCCACTGGTCTCAACCAGAACCCAAAGAGACACCTAGAAGTTCCATAAATAGTAAGGTGCTAGCTTCTGAAACCCTGGGATTTTTTTTTTTTTTTTTTTTTTTTTTTTTTTTTTTTTTTTAGCTCAAACTTGGAAACATGATAACTCACAAGGATCCTGCCCTGCAGACTCATGGCTTACCTGGAGTGGACCCGTTTCCCCAAGGCCTCAGAGGCATAAAACAGGTTTTGGAAGGAAGGACCTGAGACTTGCCACATGACCCTAGGAAAGCTTGTTGGTATAAAGATAGCTGTGGAGGTGTCCCACAAGCTTACATTGTATTCTGGAACACTTAATCATATGATCACTCTGGAAATACATTGTCTTTCCCCAGAGGGCAGTGGGGCCAGTCCCTGTCAGTCAGAGCCATTCCCACAAGAATGAAGCTGGTTTACAGTGAGCCACACCACAGACCTGGCCTCTGTTCCCCAGATCCTAATATCTAAGTCTCCCAGAGTGAACGTGCTTTCTTCCTGGTGCCTATCTAGCCTTCCACTGAATAGCTGATGGCTGATTCCACCGAAATTGCAATTTTACCTGTACCCTCCAGGCAGTCAAACACATTTGTTCAAAAACCACATGATACCTCTGGAATGTTAGGAACAGGGCTCACCCTGCTTCTACTTACTGGCATTTATACACAGTGGAATATTTCTAGCTTCGTGAGACTTTTTCCTTCTATCACTGAGTTTTGCACTAAAACCTCTGCTTGTGTGTCCATGCACACACACATGTACATCCACACCAGGTCACAGAAAGAGAAGAGAAGCTGGCTCCCATGTTGTTGGCTCCCTGAATACAGAGTTGCTCATAGGGATTGTAAAGTCTGGCAGCCTCCCTTAAGACATGGTTACTAATAAAACTTCTGTTTTCAGCAACTGGAAGAAAAACTCAAAGGCCAGGCTGACTATGAAGAAGTGAAAAAAGAGCTGAAGTAAGTATGGAGAAACATGGGCCTTCTAGGACTATCTACTGATGGGTGCAAAGTAGTACCCAAATCCAGAGCCACCCAGAACTTTCTGTTCTCACTCAAGCCTCTTGCAGGGTTTTGTTGGTTTGTTGGTTGCATGGGTGGGTGGGTGACTGATTGTTTTGTGATAGGGTCTCATATAGTCCAGACTGGCCTGAAACTCCATATATATATATATATATATATATCCGATATATATCCATATATATCCAATATATATCCATATATATATATATATATATCCAAAGTGATCTTGAACTCCTGGTCTTCCTGCCTCCACCTCCCAAGTGCTGGGATTACAGGCATGTACCACTACGTCTGCTTTATGCTGTGCTCGGGTAAAACCCAAAGCCTTGTGAATGCTAGGAAAGCAGCCTACCAGCTAAGCCACATCCCCATCCTTCTCTGGACTTTATGAGACTGCATTTAAAGTATTCCAGCATGCATGTAGCCAGAGCAAATGCCACCTTACAGCAATTGTACAGTCTGAGCTTGTTTCTCAAGTGTCAATCCCCCAAGCAGACACAGAGTAAAACATTTTTCCATTGAAATCTCAGGGCCTAATACTATAGGGCCTCCTGTACTCAGAACTACCCATCTTCTTCCAGATTCCATTCCCTGCCAGAAGCCAGTCTTTTTCAGTGCTAATACCTGCGTTTGAAAGCTTAGAAGTTCTCTTCTGGCCCCTTCTACCTCTGACTCCTCCCCCTGAGCCTGCATGACATCCCCAGCTCACTTACGCTGTCCTGAACCCCCATGTGCAGTCAGTACACAGGGCTCCCCCTTTACTTGCCTATCTCTAAGAGTAGTCTATGCTGTAAGTAATCTCTATAGGTGCCTGTCTTTGCACCATGATTTATAGTCAAGGTGGTGCCTCCAAGGCCCTTCTCGACCTCTCCCACCCAGACCCCAGCTGGACCATGTAGATGCCTTGCTCCTTTCATTTTACCTGGAATCCCTCCATATTATAATGTTCTTTTTCTTGTTACTATGACAAAATCCATAACAAAAACAAAAGCAACTTTAGGAAGGAAAGAAGGTCGTATCTTGACTCAGAGTCAGAGGGTATAGTCCATGGTGTCAGGGAAGGCATGGTGGAGGAGCAAGAAGTGGCAAGACACACTGCATCCACAGTCAGGAGGCAGAGAGAGGTGAATGCTGGTGCTCAGCTTACTTTCTCCTTTTATTCAGTGCAGGTCCCAAGACCCAGGGATAGTGCCACCCATATTCACAATAAGTCTTCCACCTCAGTTAACCCAGTCTAGAAAGTCTCTCATAGATGATTGCGGAGGTATGCCTCCTAGGTGACTGTAGATCCTCTTGTCTATCTGTGGGAAATCTAGACTATCTGCCTAGTCTGTGTCCCCTTCTTCCCGCTTTCATTTTTCCAGTTACCCTCACTTTCATCTTCTGAGACAAGCCTACCCTCACAGCTTTATTCTCTATAAATACCAACCTCCTTTTGCTTGCTTGTGACCTCCTTCAAACTAATGGTGAGGCTCCTACATTGCTTCCCTCCACCTCTGTCCTCAGCACACTCTCCCTTTACAGGCTCTCTCCTTTCCTCTCTCCTCTCTCCTCCTCCTCCTCCTCTCTCTCTCTCTCTCTCTCTCTC